TATGAAAATGGTCTCTCGATTGGCTCCAAACCATCTGATCAATGATTGTAGGTTTTTTTTTTTTTTGAAACTTGATGATTGTAGGTTCTAAGTGTATATTCACATATGTCACATGTTATATATGAAAAAAAATATGGATGTAGACAAAAAAATGAAAATCAAAGATTAAACAATAAGAAAGACATACAAGAGAATCCAAAAATCATATCGGAAAGAAATCTTCCATAATGGGGTTTACAATTAATCGGACTACTCGATTGAAAGATACGTCAGTTTTAATAAAGACGTTATTCTGGCAGTGGCATACGATGCATAACATTTTTCTGAGAAGAGAGGACCAACTAGTTCTTATATGACCCGAACACTCACTTTCTCAGACGAGTAATTGGAGACTTTTTCACAAGAGGTCAAGTCTAGCCAACAATACCATTTCAATTTATTGGTGGGTTCTGTTTATTTTTTCTTTTCAATAAACGTATATTTGTATAGTAAAGTAATATTTCAATAAATATGGGGTCTAATATATGTATATATTTTAAAAACAAAATTATACTTGCGTCGAGGTCATGTTCGACCGTTCCACTTGCACGCAAGTGGTAAAAGACGGTCCTGACTTGTCTCTCCTATATAATCAATCAGTCCCTTTTCCAAATGGATTTTTTTTTCCCTAAGATCGGACGACGTGTTTCAGTAAAGATCTGACCCGGTTTGGGAGGCTTTGTATATAAGCTTAATTAATTATTATGTCAAAACGTAACAAGTATAAAAATATCGAGTTTTTCATATTCATAACAACTACGTAGTTGTTTCCGTATACATATACAATATTTCTTTTACCACATTGCTATTGCAGTTGGGTTGGATGCATACATTTTTGTGTAACAATGACACCTACTCTCTTTGTATGCATAATACAATTTTATTTCGTCCTAGTTTATGTGAAAGACTTAAATTATATAAATATGAGTCTGTTACGTTTGCTTATCTCATATACACATTGAATACAACTACATAGGGAGCCAAACATATGCGTACTTATGAAATACAGATCATTATACACATTACAAAAGTACAAATAATATCACGATCCATTTATAAAAGTAAAAAAAAAAAATTATCACGATCCAGATACGTAGATAGTAGTTTCAGGTTGACAAAATTACTGCACAAGAGAGTGCAGTAATTGATGGACGAACCTGAAAAGGAAAACAAAAACAAATAAAAGCAGTCGAACAACGGTAAGTTAATGCAATATACTATATTTGATCTCTTACCTTAATTAGCATTTAACCAACACTATACAAATTAGACATTAATCAGTACATATACAAACAAGTGACTGAAGCTAGAACGTCCAATTCAAACTTAGTCTCAGTGAATTGAAAATACCGAACGAGTCCAGGAGTTCCCCCAAACACTTCAGTGGAATACAGTTAGTGGAATACATTTAATATAAAATGTTATATAATCCAATGAAGTGCTCAGAGGAACTCTAGGAAACATCCGACCAAAAACGATATTTGTGTCTATATAACACTATCAATGTATTGTATTTATATTTCGGTGGGATAGGTAAATTAGATTGTAGTATTAGGGTTTGAAGAAAAATGGAAGGATTGCGTTTCTATTTATATCGTTGGAGGCTTGGAGAGAGAGAAGTTTTGGGAGAGGAAAGAATTGTGAACTTAGACGTAAATTCAGGTTAAGGGATTAAGAAGAAGGAATCAGAAAAATTCAATAAAAGTGCATAAATTTCTTTCAGCTTTTCGCAAGATAAGAAAGACATTGATACGCATAAATGCCACGGAATGTAGACGAACTGACTCACATACATGCAAATGCCATATGATTTTTTTGTTGGCTTTTTATGTGCGCAATTAAAATAGTGCTCCTTCAATTTTAGGATATTATATTATTATTACATACGAGACAAATAATTAAAAAGCTATGTTTTGGAGATCGTTTTTCTAATCATCAAATTAATTAATTTTGATAAATGTAATATTTCAAAATAAAAAAAATTATGAATAAAGATAACAAAATTAAATAATTGATGTTAAAGATTCTTAAAATTTGAAATCTTTGATGGTTACTATTAATTATGATAACTTTTTGGTGTCAATAAATGAATCATGCAATTTTGGTGAAAAACAAGATTCCACAACTTTGACAACGAAACATAGTTTCCTAATTTTTCGTTGAAATGAGCCTTTGTAGTTTTTACGCCAAAGATTGACTCATTTCACATCTTTTATGTAAATATGATATTACATATTTTTTATGATTGTACCAATACGCAATCCCAATTCGCATTTTTGGCGCTGAAAAACAATTATATTACTATGACACCACTACAAAAAAATAGACCATGAGTTACTACTTTTGATCACAAAATTTTGCAATTGTTATGTGGCTCATTTGCGACTACAGACGATAGAGTGTACAAATGGTCACAAATTTATGAAGCGTCGTAAAGTAGCGATTGATTTAAGACTACTATTCGACTGTTTTAGTGTGGTCGCAAAACAGTCATAGATTTGAGACTGTTTTGTGACTGTGGTTATAGTCAGCAAGTTAATCGCAAATCAGTCTTAAATTTGCGACCAATATGATGCTTTTGAAACTTGATTTGTTGTGTTTGAACATATATTTATGTTTCGGTTATGTGTTATTAAAGTACTTGTACTTTCTTTTGTACTTTTGTGTTATGATTAGTATCTTAATGCATTTTGGTCCTTCTTCTTTAACTTTTTCGTTTTCAATATCAAAAACAACAAATACAATGTTGACAAAAAAAAAACAACATTAATACAATATATAAATATTATTATCGTATATACAGTCACAAAACTGTTACAAATTTGCGATTGATTTGTAACACTATCATTGACGAATCCAAAAACAGAATGGCATTTTAATTGTTAATAGGTGACTTTTTAAGGACAAATTTACGACTATCAACGTTCATTAGCCACTCTAGTATTAGTCTTTAAATCGTCGCACATATACGACCAAACCTATTGTCACAACTTAGTCTCTAATGAACGACCACATTACTCGGTATCTCTTTAGTCGTTAATCTACGACTACTCAGTT